TTGCTCTGTCAGCTACAGTAATACAGTCTCTATACTCCAACCAACCATTTGCAATGAACTCCACCATTACTGATCAGAAACAGTCAAATATCAAGTGATAATTGTAGCTTGTTATTGAAACATGGGGTAAAGTTAAAGACTTATAAAGGCTGTTTAAATTTAAGTAGCGTTGTATGCACATGCAGAGTGCTCTAAAAAGCATAAAATCCTGTTATACAATTATTTAGACCATATTGTCTTAGCCCACTACATTAAATAAGAAAAAAATAGGAATAATATGCACTTTTAAAGTATTGTCTATTTAGGGAGAAAGGGGGGAAAAAGCCCCAATTATTTCTCTGAATGAAAAAGAGCTTTCTTGTTTTTAAATCATCAGAGCCCAGTTCCTTTCCAATTGTCACATTTAGGCCTGTTTACTTTTGAATCTGTTGGATAAAAAATAGCCAAAATTTCTCACAAGAACTTAAAACTAAATCTTTAAGCACTGGAGACATTACTTCATTTGGTTAAGGTCAATGTCCAAGATTCAAAATCCATCTGGAGTAAAACGAGCACAGCATTCTAAGATGATGGTAGTAAAATGGTCATCTGGTGTTCCAGCTGGACTAACAGAGCTGCTCCAACAGATAGATACTCTGTGCTTTACTGGGACATTTTGAAACTCAATCTAAAAATTGCTTTTTTTCCCCTTCAGCTAAAAAATAAAGAAGTTTATGCAGCAGTACAATAATCCAAAGTAGACCAACTAGTTTCCATCTGATTGGCTTAAAGAGAATGTCTCTGAGTGTCCAAGCCCATTTCTGAATCTACAGTTGGTTATTTTAGTTTGTGAAATAGAACGATATAGTTTTGTCATTTATTTCTGAGAATAAAAAATGTATGATATACAGTTCCTTGTAAAGTTATTCAGCCGCTTTGGTCACAATTAAGGCTTTAGACATAAAGATTTTAAATTGTAATTTTTTGTGAAGAATTAATAAAATGGGACAACATTATTAAGTGGAACAACTGAAAAAAAAAATGTAACAGATGAACAGCTGAAAAAAATATGGGTGAGCAAAATGATTCACCCCCTTGAGTTAATACTTTGTAGCACCACCTTTTGCTGATATTACAGTTGCAAGTCGCTTGGGGTATGTCTCTGTTTTGCACATTGAGAGATTGATATGTTTAAATTCAAAATATCCAATAAATTGCATTCCACTACATGATTGTGTCCCACTTTTTGATTCTTACAGAAAATGTTAAATTTATTTTGAAGCCTGAAATATGGCCAAAGGTTGAAAAGTTAAAGGGCGGCGAATACTTTCTCAAGGCACTGTAAATGGACTCCTTTAGGATCTGATCATTAAGTATTGGGAGACACACAGAGGACGATCTCAGCCATTCCTCAACAGGAGAAGGTGTCGCTCAAAGTCATCAATAGAAAGTGTCCAAAGACTCTTTTCCAAGGTTTATATAACATTTTACTATTTTCCTTAGCAGTCTGTAACTTTATTTGATTAACTGTATGAGGAGACCTTCACAGCTTTTTTGCAAGCTTTAATTTAGTGAGAGAAACCTTGTCTAGATCAGAACATCCAGCTGTGTGTTACGATTGTCTTGTTTTCATTGTTGCAAAGATAAAATAAAATGCCGACAGAGTGAATTACCATCAATCTCCTTTATTGTTTAACTGGATTGCAAAGTTGAATACCTTTTCCCTACAGTATTATCTCAAAACATAGGAAGGTTCCAAGCTTGTTTACAACAACAAAAAGTGTGTAGTGCAGCTTTAAATAAGGGATGTTAGACCAAATTATGACTGCACAGAACAGAAAAAATCCACATATTTAAGCTTTAGCTAAATTGGAAATGAGCTGCTTTTCATGATTCACATTTCTTCAGAAACTATTATAAATATTTCCAAATTGTCCTTAGTTTGACATACCAGACTAACAATACAAAACTGTACAAAAAAAAAACTTTCTGTAACCGTGGAAAAATCTGTGAGCTCTCTTATAGAGTTTATACTATGGGTCCTTTTTCATTTGCATAATAAAAAAATAATCCAAAAGAAGTCTTTTCAGGGCCCACTGTTTGGATTAAAATAAATATGGAAAAATAATTGCTGAATAAAATAAAGACTTCCTGAGGTTTTCTCTTTCTCCTCCTTTCTGCTCATAGTGAAGCTTAGTTCCTCTGTCTGTAGCCTCGTCATTGTGACAGACGCTCAGGGCGACATGCGTGTGTGGAAGCTGCGCGGTCGGATCATCATGCTGACTTTACGTAAAGAGTAATAATCCGAGTCTTTCCAGGAGTACCAGACTATCCCATCAGGACCCAGTGAACCACGTCCTTTTGGAGTGTAATGGCCTCCCTGCAGAATTGGCAAAATAAAGAAAATACTTATGGGCTTCCTTTTTTTTAATGTGTAGGCTATTATTCAAAGTTTTCTGTGCTCACCCTGTAGTAGACTCCATTAAGATTAGCGTAGAAGCACTGGTTGTACCACCAGCCACCATGAGAGATCTCAGCGCAGATATTGCCGGTGTCTGGAGTACTGAAGTGCTGCTTATCATGGTACCAGCCAAAGGAGTCCTGCACTGTGCCACTGAAACCTGACACATGGAGGCGGTACTGATGCTCCTCATCTTCCACACTGCAGCAAGATAAAACAACAGTGAAATATTTTTGCAAGCCAACTTACGTGCTATTAGTTATAAATTGGTACATTAAAAAAAAATAAAAACGAGTGATAAAATAGCAGAATTGTGGAGCATAACATCAACTGCGTCTCACACTAATCTGTGCAACACTGAACTTATAACAAGGCTCTACTTCTTCTACTGCTTCTGGCATTAATCTTGCAAATTAGGTACACATGTTCACTTGCTACTCTCAAGTGAATAGATATATTTGATATAAAAAGACTTCAGAATATTGTTTTCTAAGGATGCCTAAAATCTACCCCTCTCCTGCCTGGTGTGCTTTTGGGTCGCCATTATTCTGATTCTTAACAAACCAAACCGTTGTGTTATATGCTGGTTAAGATTCTCAATCATCCAGGTTATAGTCATTCCAAAAAAGTTAGAAAACAGTCCACTGGACTTTGTTTCCAAGTTTGAAAGAGTTTCGCTCCCCATCCAGGAATATTTTTCAATTCATGATGTCAGAAATAGTGTTGAGTTCTAGGCTTTATAAAGTAGCCCAACAAAGCCTTGTTTTGCCTTAGAAAACATGTCAATTGAAACTGACAAAAAGGTCCGCCCCTTAGTTATTGGGAATTGGCCAAAATTCCATTTAACAACCCTCCTTTCAGAGAAATAGACAGGTATGGGGTTTTGCAGGCTAAGAAAGAAGCCAAAGGACCCCCTTTCGTCTTTTTCAATTTGCATGTTTTCTAAGCCAGAACAAGGCTGTGTTGGGCTATTCTATAAAGCCTTGAACTCAACGCTATTTCTGACATTTTGAATTGAAAAAGCTTCCTGGATGGAAAGCGTAACGTCTTCAAACTTGGAAACAAAGTCCAATGGTTTGTTTTTTAACTGTTTTGAAAAACCAACGCATCCTTCAAAAGTGCAGAGGGCTTTTAAGACGATTTCAACTTCAAAACTATCCACTATAGTATTACATAAAACAGCAATAAGCTACCTCAAAGTATTTGGGTTTAAGAGGACAACATTCTGAAAGGTTTAAGATGTATTAATGCCTCATACCTAAAACTCTGATAGAGGGCATGTTTGTGCTGGATGCTCCAGTCTTCTAGGTCAATCCGGAGGCTGTAGTCACCCTGGGTGCTCAGGTCATGGATGTGGTTGTTACCCAACCAGAACTCTGAATGCAGGTCCCCAAATCCATCCCTGTAATCCCTCCAGCTTCGGTCAAAGCTCACAGAGCCATCAACTCGCCGTTGGATTACGGTCCAGCCACCACCTTAAGAAATGAGTGCAGCAAAGGTCAAGACCTCTAAAGAGTCTTTAAGTCCACATTTATTTACTCTTAAGCTCTATCAGGCTGCATAACAGGAACTGTAGTTAGTTTTAAGAGTGCAAAGATCGTTAATGGTTTGATTTATTATATCTGAAGTAAGTTTTATTCAACAGCTTTATAAATATATAAGGGTATCCCTCACCATCTGTGTCCATGTCACAGTAAACCTCCACAGGCATGCTTGCCAGTAAAGGCACCACAGTGTAGAGACCTGACCTCCTCACACCATTGTAGTAGATGGAGGCACAGTCCACAGGACAGTTCCCCACATGCTGGATCTCTGCAGCAACAGAATGTATTTAAAGGCTTTAGACAAAAAGGGATCTCTGGCTCCACCTGGTGACCTATCGCTACGTTAGCGCATACTGTACCTGGGTGCATGGCTTCTTGAGTATTCTGTAAATGATTGGGCCGGACAATATTGACGGAACAGTCTGAGCCTCTTTTTACTTTATCCATTAAGAGAGTCAAATTATGTAGCTGATTCTAGGCAAAGAGATCATTTGTTAACAATTATTAACTGTTCTCATCCAAACCTATAAGAAAAATTATTCAGAATAATAGTGGGCTAGATTTAAAAAGTGGCGCACCTGCAGGTCTAGGATCAGTGTGCCTTGAAGATGCAGCAGGGAGCTGGCTTCAGCATGATGAACCTCCAGCTCATGGAAACGCTGCTCCAAAGAGATGTTCTGGTGAAGCTTCTCTTCACTCTGCTGGCACATACAACTTTACCAGGTTTGTTTCACAGAAAGTGTTCAATGTAAAACTTGGAATCATATCAATATAACGTAACAAAGAAACTTCACTGATTATAGGTCTGACTAAAATCTGTTTGTACCAATCTGTAAGAAGGCATTGTTAAAGCAAATAAACCCAGGGATGAACACTAAGATTTTGAAATCATTCTAAAGTCTGAAACTGTATTGAAGTTTTCATTTATTTCATAATGAATCTAAGATTTCAGTCCGAAAGTAACAAGAAAAATGCAAATAAGGCAACAAATAAATCTGTGAAAAAGATGGACACAATTGAAAATCAAAAATATCAAAAAGATAAAAAATATAAATTTGCTGGTTCTACTCTGAAAAAAAGTTAATTGTAATAAAAATCTTTAATATATTTCTTTCTGAATACATTTTTGTTCATAAAAAAAATACCAGCGATGTTGATTTGACCCTCTCTGTAAGCGCATTAATATTGCATTGGTGTAATGAGCCTGTGCCTGCAGAAATCCACCCTCATGTTTTAGTTTTCCACTGATATGGAGTGGTTATGTGTTAGGACTGAAACAATACCAAATAATTTAATAAAAATAAAACTTAAGAACCCACAGATGGTGCAATAAAAGGTCACAGAGGAATCAAACTGCAAAACTTATGTGGCAGACTAGTGTAATTTACTGAAATCTCACTCCAGCTCTGTAAAAGAATGCTAGTCTGCTGAGTAAGCATGCCTGTCAATGTCAAAGCATGCTCCTTAAAAGATGACAGATGGTATCATCACCAAGCTTATCATGGAAAATGTTTTAGACAGCATATTTTTTTATATCAGCTTCTCCAGAGCCTTTCGATGAGTTCAGAGTTAACCTCTTCTTATCAGAGAAAGTACAGAGTCTCAGTACCAAACCTGACACTTCCTGTTCTCTGTTCAATCTGTTCTCTGGTCAATCTCCATGGTTTCAAGCAGTGAATGCAGGGTCTATTAGAGGATGTCAGACCCTCAGGCCATCCGTTATTTCCTAGGGTCTGGCCTACAGTAACTGCATGTTTCCTGGAATCTCCAGCATTCTTTTAAGACTGTGCTGAGAGACACAGCAAACCTCCCAGAAACGACAGGAATTTGCTGTTCTTTCTTGGTAGATCAACTACTAAACAACCTCTGTATGGTCCAGGTATATTCCCATGCAATCAATGAAGACTCTGACTATGGTGAAAAGGTAAACTACTGTTTTATTAAGCTGTGACAAAGTTAATATTGCTAACTAAAATATGAATCACACATATAGACAGCTTTGCTGCACACAGTTAATTCTGCCATTCCCCTATTATCACTGACTTATCCAGCTGAGTGTTTCTTTCTGTCTAAGCTCATCACCTGAGAAGACATGAGGCACCACATGGAAGAGTAGGAGGCTAATCCTGTTAGTGGCTAAGGTCAAGGACATCCTGGGATGGAAGCCAGCTCGATTACCCACAACCATGATTACTCAGCCATAATGCTATATATTCCCATCTTGGGGTGCATAGATTAAAAGTTTTACATTATTTAAGTTTTTTATGAAATATTATTTAATCAAATATTGGAAGAGAAAACACTTCCCTACCCAAATACCTATTTTAATATCTCACTCCATCATCATCATTGCCATATTTGTAGAACAAGTGTGTCACTACTGAGTTAATCAGTCCTGTCAGCTGACCCAGGTCTGCTGTAGTCACCTGTAGCTCGAGGACTTTGATGCGATGCCGATGATTCCTGAGTTCCTCCTGTAGCTCAGAGATGGTTTCTTTCAGGGCCACAATCTGCTGCTTCCTCTCCTCGTTCTCATGTAACCAATAGGAGACCTCATCAGAGCAGCGGAACATATCCGGACACCTTCTCTCATCCAGTTGAGGCAACGTGGCTACCAGCCGGCACATCCCATCCTCCATCAGCTGTCAGAAGAGAATATTTTTAATATAAAAAAAAAATACTCTCTACATGTTTCACAATAGGTTTTTATTAAGAAGTTAACTTTAAGACAAAGACCTAAAGAAACCTTAGGCTTAGGATGCTCATTATTCAGGTTAATGATGAATTCAAAATCCAAAGACTTCTATATGTTCTTGTTCTATCCTGGACTGACCTGCAACTAACACAGATATATTTAAAGAACCATGCATAGGTTGCAATTAAATTGTTATTTCTGAGGCTATTTAATTGGCCAGAAATTGTAATTACTTTACAGCCAAATATAAGAAAGAAAATTCCTAACATTCTAAAAAGCTACTTTTATGAAAAAACTTGGATAACTTTCTTTTAATAAATCTTAGTCTAATACATACATACACACATACATAATTATCTTTTTTAATCTGAATTTCAGTCATAGAAAACAATGAAGCCAACTTATTGAAATTTATTTTTACAAGTAGGAACAGTTTGTTTATCTCCAAGAATTTGTTGATACTTATTAGTTTAACATTTTGCAAAATACCAAACCCTTCAGTGACTCTACAGTACTGATCGGCCTGTAAACTATTCTAATCCATTCTATTCTATACTATTACATTCTATTCTACTGTATTCTATTCTATTCTATTCTATTCTTTTTTATTCTATTCAATTCTATTATATACTATTCTATTCTATTCCATTTCCTTACATTCTGTTCTATTCTATTTGATTCGATTATATACTATTATATTTTATTCTATTCCATTCCGTTCTGTTCTATTCTATTCTATTCTATTCTATTCTATTCTATTCGATTATATACTATTCTATTCCATTCCATTTCCTTGCATTCTATTCTATTTGATTCGATTATATGCTATTCCATTTTATTCCATTCTATGTCATATAACAGCAAAATCAGATATGGTAGCCCTGCAGTGGATAAAGAAAGTTAAACTGTTAATTGGCCTGCCTAAAATCACGAACAAACATTTTGAAATGCTTTAAAAACCAAACATTACATCAGGTATAGTTATTTAACCCTCAGGAAGGTGTAACCTCCCAACATGTTGTAATGGTGAACAGTAGCCTTATTGTGGCACTATGAGGCCGCCAATTTGGAGCCTCCAAATGCGTCCCGATTGTGCACCAAAAGACAGTGAGCAGGTTCAAACCCAGTTTTTATAATGTAAAAAAGGGCTCTATCTTTTCAGGGCTTTTTTCCAGTTTGGTATTTAACCCTCACAATTGGATTAGAAAACAAACTGAAACCTTTAAACATTGAAACTTTAAATAACACATTTGAATAAGCTTTCACAAGACACAGTAGCTTGTGAAAGGACCTTATTAATTCCTTAGAAAACTAAGGTTTTTTTGCCAGGAGTCGATCCTGTTCTGCAAGGATCTTCAGATCACCCTACAGATTTTACTTACAATTCCTTTATTGATATGGACGTAGCCTTCAGGGTTTTTTTGTGTGGAAATATGTAATTCCCTCTTATCTTCAGCTTTCCAGCAGAGCAAAAGAAACAGCACTGGCAATAGCAACACCCCCAGGTCACCAGATCAATATTTTATGCACTTGAATTGATAAGAAGCCTCTTTGTGCCTGACATGCCTTTTGTAATAATGGCCCAGCAGGTAAACACTGGTTTAATTATGGTATAAAACATTTCCCCTACTACTTTTAGGGGATTTCAAATGATTCCTTAAGCTTTCTGTCAGGCTTGAATTTTTTGTCCTTATTTTTCATAATCAATTCTAACCTTTATTTAGCTATTGTATTCCTTGGCCCAGACTGTCGGCACATGCTTAACGCCAGTCCGATCCTGTATCACCATAGCTCATTAAATGTTTTTGGGACCCTCTATGCACACTTTTCATCTTCCCTTTTATCAATCATGAACGGATGTTCAGTTCTTGCTAATATCACCATAACACCAGATTTTCTCCACCAGTAAATGACTGTGGTTCTAACATCTTTAAATTTATTTGATGCTTTGCTCTCGGCTGATGACTTTTCACAGTGAGATCCCTCTAATGCAGGGGTGCTTAAGTCCAGTCCTCAGGAGCTACTATCCTGCTTTTTGATGCACCCCATTTTTAACACACCTGAGTCAAATGAGCGGCTCGTAACGATGCCTCTAATGGGCTAAATGAGGGGATTGAGCTTTTTTAATTCAGGTGTGTTAGAGAAGAGATGCATCTAAAAGTTACAGGATGGTAGCTCTTAAGGCCTGGACTTGAGCACCCCTGCTCTAATGCTTTGGATGCTCACTGCTCCAATCAAACTGCTGAACTGTAAAATAAAGGCACAGTAAATGATGGCAGGTCTGTGCTGACTCCTTTGTAGCACTGGAGTAAATTTGGTGATTAGTTCCAAACACAGAACCTTCCCAGGTATAACAGTATATGTGCTCTGATGTAATCAAACCTTTTGAAGATTATTCATTCTATGAATATATAAAAAAAAATTATTCAGGGGATTTGTAGTGAGAAAATAAAAAAAACATTTAAATAAAGAGTCTGTATAGTCTGCAGACCTTGTAAATCAGCTGTATGCAAACACTACTCATAAGCCAATTAGACAAGAGTAAATAACTCCACCAACCTTAGAAGATTTAAGGCTTTTCCATTCCATTTATAATTATTGTTCCTCTCGTATAACTGTATTTGCAACAAATATGATTTTGTAAATATTATTATTATTATTATTATTATTATTATTATTATTATTATTATTATTATTATTATTATTATTATTATTATTATTATTATTATTATTATNTTATTATTATTATTATTATTATTATTATTATTATTATTATTATTATTATTATTATTATTATTATTATTATTATTATCTACTTCTGATTTTGGATCAAATTTTCACATGCTCCCTCTGGGATTTTATAGCCTTCAGTGCCAACCTGTGTTTAAGCTTGAAAAACCATTGATGAGAGTAACTGAAAATGTGTTAGTCAACCTGCTTTGAGAATTCAATTCAGTTAAAAACATAGAGATCCCAAAGGGAAATTAAGCGTTGCAATAATTCATGTTAAAGATGTTGATCGTTTATGTAGGAATGATCTTCTGTAGTGGTCTGTCTTGCACCGTTCCTTTAAAGGCCTCTGACTGAAGACATTCTGCTGCTCTCGTCTTCTGAAGAGGATGCTCAGGGCTGTATACAATTCAATTCATTCAATGAAGACTTTTTCTTTTTTCTTTCACCTCCAGATGAAATTTTGTATTTTGTTTTTTGAGCTTCTCTAAGTCTTTTGATCTGATGTGTCTACCCCAGCAGATGATAGCAGAATCACATTTCCACGGCATACTTACAGAAGATATGCAGTGTCCTGCTGTAAATACTAAAGGACCAAAGCTTCCTTTAAAAGTACATTCTGCTCTGACCGTTCTGGTAGATGGCTTCATAGTTGTCTCTCCAAATGAGTTTGTTGTCCTAGTAAACACCAAGGTATTTATACTCCATCACTTTCACTTCTTCTCCCTCTTCTCCTTCTCCTTTTAATAGCATTTAACGTTGTCTTGTTTCCCCTGAAATCTACAATCATCTCCTTTGTTTTGTTCATATTTAGGATCAGATGATTGTTTCCACACCATGCAACAAAGCGGTTCACCAGCTCCTTGTACTAAGCCTTTTGTCCATCTCTGATGCACCCAATGACTCTCTGCAGATGACAAAACTGTCTGGAAGTTGGAGATGTGCAGAGTAAAAAAGAATGGTTAGAATATTGTTTCCTGTGGCACTCTTGTGCTGCTTCTGTAATGTTCTTGTCTTGATGAGATCTTGTATGGTTTGTTTGTCACTAGTCTTCAAGAGGAATTGTTAATGCCTCCACCTGAGTCTCGGAGTTCAGAACCAAGTAAATCAGACACAATTGTGTTAAATGCATTGGGAAAAATCAAAGAACCTGATCGGCACAGTGTCGTCTGCCTTGTCTAAATGACAGTGGGTTTGTTGAAGCAGGTGTATGATGACATAATTAACTCTATCTCCCCAGAAATAAGGAAATTGCACGGGGGGTTCTGATAGTCTTTTGCTTGTTCAAGTAAACCTTCATGACGGGGGATACACTGCCAGTAAGGCTATAATTATTGATGACTGTTGGCAGTTTTTTTTTTGGTAGTAAGAGTGCTCTAGAATCCCACATAGATGCTCTGCACAGGACTTCAGGACTCTGGGGCTGATATCATTTGGCCATTTTACCACTTTGCGATTCAATCTCTCCATTTGCTTTCACACTTGAATTCTAGAGACAGACAAGTTAAAGGTGGAGCAGCACCATCTTTTGGTTCAGTTGAGAACAAATCAATAGAAGCAGGAAGGTCCATGGCAGAGGTGGAAGATTACACATTTCAGAGAGAAGCTTTGGATGTCCATTGCAATGTCCATTTGACTGTGTGCAGAAGAGAAGGATGATAAGCTTGTTCCTGAACTGAATTTAATTTGCTCTGTCCAGATCTGCATCTGTCTGATCCTCTTTCTGCTTGAAGCCCGTGATGTTCTTCATCCCTGACCACATACCTTGGATATTGTTCTGCTGGAGCTTGCTTTCCAGCTTCTTCTTATAGGGCTCCTAGCTTTACCTTTTCTTGACCATAAGTTGCTTCTGTATATCGTATAGTATTTCAATGTCACCCTTCCTAAAGGGTTTTTTATTCTTGCCAGCAGCTCCTTCATATCACTGGTTATTCAGGGTTTTTATTGGGGAAACATCTCACTGCACTGTTGGGGATGGTGTTATCTACACAGAGGTTTATATACCATAGTATTATATAGTAAGTCACTGCTTTGATGTCCTTCCCATGTGGTTGACAGTGCATCCCAATCTATAGCCTCAAAACATCCTTGCAGGGCCATCTTGTGACCATCCTCTTACAACCATCCATCCATTTTCCATCAAGCTTTATCCCAGCTTGACAGCTGGTGCCTATCTCCAACTGTCAACTGGGGAGAGGTGGGGTACACCCTGGACAGGTTGCCAGTCTATTGCAGGGCAACACAGAGACAAACAACCATTCACCCACACACTCACACCTAATGAGAATTTAGAGAAGCCAGTTAACCTAACAGTCATATTTTTTGGACTGTGGGTACCCGGAAAGAACCCAGGCATGCCCAAGGAGAACATGTAAACTCCCTGCAGAAAGAACCCGTGCGGGAAATCGAACCTGGAACCTTCTTGCTGCAAGCCAGCAGTACTACCCACTGTGACACTGATACCTCTTACAGTTCTCCTTAATACAGCAGCTGCTTCTAAAGAGGCTCTTATTCTGAGCAGAGATCAAACTTCTCAATAGAAGGTATGGTTTTGAGATGTTTGAGTACTTGGCAAATACATAAAACAGGTGAAAATGTTTGTTTTCTCTGGTAAAGCAGCTGACAAGCTGTTGAGACACTGGAATTGAGCAGAAAGTGAGGTGTGATTGAAATCGCCAGGTATTGGCACAAATTTGGCTTTTGCATCTGTAGCTCAGTAACAGTGTTCCCAGCAGCAAAAGGTGGAATGTAAACCGCTGCCAAAACAACACGGGTAAACCCTCTGAGTAACTAATATGGACAAAAACTAGCTGCCAATAGTTCAATATCTGGGCTGCAGAAACAAAACTTCACTGTAACATGTCATATAATCAGAGAGACCGTGTATATTATCTTGCAGGCATGTTTCAGTAAAACACATAATACTACATTCCCAATATTCTAGCTGAGTCCTTGTTGGGGCTTTCAGTTCCTCTAACTTTTCCTAAGGATCTCACATCACCCATTGCAATTAATGGAAGAGATGGCTTGTATTTCCTCTTCCTCTCTTCTCCTTGCTCCTGCTTGACATCCTCAGCACCTCCATTTCAACTTACAGTAGATGGGTCTTTCAGTCGAAGTTAAAACATAATGTCAGCATTTCAAACAATGTAAAAAATAGAACAAAATAAAAACTTTCTATCAATGCTTTGGTTGTGCATCATGACAAATGTTCAACAATAAAAAAGATATTGGCAAAAAACTTTCAGCTGCTCTACATCCAATACCATAGCTAAAAATGACATCAGTAAAAAACTTTAAAACACAAATAGATAAAATTAAATTCTTTTAAGCAAGAATTTCATAATCAAATTTGAAGAGCTAATTTATTGTCAAGCCACTTTATGAAATACAATTCTAGAAGTGAGGGTTTTAAAGTATCACACAAACATCCTGTTTCCATGAATACAATTAACAGTAATGTATCCTAAGACCATTACTATACCTGGTTTGTGTACTCCCCACACTGTGCACCTCCACCGTTGCTTGATGTGGAAGTATTCAGGTTGTCAGCTTTGGCCTCTGGGAGCAACAGGATGAGGAAGCAGATAGTGGAGCCCACCACCCAGCTGAGGGGGTTGACAGAGGTCAAACCCATTGCTGTCAGTTAGTTAGTCTGTCCCCTGCCTTTCCACTGAGGGTGGGCTGAGGGTGTAGGAGTATACACTTCAGCATGCGATGCTCTGCTGGCTCTCCCTTACATACAAACAAGAGAGTTTAGGCAACTATACATAAAGTCAAATTATGAGTTTAAATCTGTAAAATAACTGGAATTATAGACTCAAGTAACATTACATCATATTAACCAGTATCAGAGAACAAATAATTAACAAACATTTCAGCTTAAAGCTATGGGAACTATGCAGTACTCACCCCAGCGAAACAGCACCTTCTACCCCACTCATGGCCCAGTTCGGGCCACGGGGTTCTCTCCATTTTTATATAAATTCCTCTTTTGTTTATTCGCCTCTGAGTGGCTTTCTCTTAGTCCATGTCTACCTCGCTCCCTTTCAGTGTAGCAATCCTAGTCCAGTAATCCACCTATAAGAGGATTCACTGCACCTGAGAAAAGGCAGGGAGCATGACAAATAGGGTGATAAAATTCTGACGTAAAGGGAGAAGTGAAGAAACATGACGGTGGAGAAATCTATTTTTTCAATTGACTTTTTAATTACCACAGCAAGCTATGCATGTATGAAAATATGATGGCTTTCATTCAAATATTCATTATGAAAAGAAATAAAAATATTTTTTCTTTTAATGGATACCACAAACTGCAGCTCCATGTACTAACTTGTGTTTGTTATTTTATAACTGTCATTGCATACTGGTGGAACAATGCTTTGCACAACAAAATGTTAAACACAACAATATGAAAAATCTTAAATAATGAAGTGCAGGGGAAAAAAACTCCAGCTGATATTGTAAAAAGTGTTGAAGAAGTTTTTGTTTTTCTGGGGCACTGCCATCAAAACCCCTACATCAGCACATACAGCAAATAAAGCTAACCTACTATACAAGCGCAGTAATCCTGCACTAAGCTAGAGGTAATGAAGACTAACGGGAGTAGGAGTATGAGGGGTGGTGATCCTATTACATTATCCAAGCTGCACTTTACATTTTTATGCCCTTGACTTTGGATCATTAACAATGTGCATATTTTCTAGGAAAAGACCTTAATATGTGCCATCAGATTTAGGAGGTTTGAGGGACCCAAATGGTCACAATACAATAATCCTAGAACAGTATTTGAGGCAATTATGTGGTTTATTCCTAAGTATTAACAAAAATCGAAACCCATAATTAAGACATTATTTAAAACTAAATTTGCCAACAAGGATGAAGCTATATTAACGACCCATTGTCGTTGTCGACCCAACTTAAAAACAACATGCATACCAGGTTAACCAAGGATATTTAGGTTTAGACCTGGTTTTGGTACAATTAGCTTATTTATGGCACTCAAAATATCTGTAAAATTGTCCAATTTATTTGGGTCAATTAAAAGAAGTGCTGCCGTAAGTGCCCTTTCCAAATGAGTGGAATCGTACATCCTAACATAGACAGTGTTATAGTAGTCCAACCTGTACTACAAATTGTATTAAATTAATAACATTTCTAAAGTGCTAAGTACTTCTGCAGGAGGTGTGTGTGTCCTGTTGATGCAGAGAGAGGCTTTTTAAAGTTTCTTTTTTACAAATAAAATAGGTTGTTTTTAAAAGGTGAGAATATTTTTGGGGTTCTCAACTTTTCAATGCTGGTTTAAGCTTAAGAATTAATATTTGGGTGTAAGAATATACATGGAAGGGCTGCAAGGTTGATCACTTTGTAGCACTAATGCCTTACAATAAGAAAGGACCTGGTTTGGATTCCTGGCCTAGGGTCTTTCTGCGCAGGGTTTCCATGTTTTCTCTCAGGTTATTAGGTTAATTGGTGGCCCTAAATTTCCCGTCACTGTGCATGGTTGGATGTCAGTTTTATTGCCCTGTAATGGATTGGTGACCTGTCCAGGGTTTACCCTGCCTTTCCGCCATAAACAACTGGCTACAGGCACCAGAAAATACATGGAAGTGCACGTACAGATGTGTGTGCACAGGCACAAGGTGGTGCTGTTTGACTATTTATTCATCTTTGAGGTTTAACCATCATTCTGAAACTCCTCACTTGCAGAAAAATTACACAGACACAAAAGCTTTTAGAAAGTCAAGAATTATGGATGAGATTGGGCATTTAAATATTGTTTACTCCTATTAACAATCTTAAAAAGTGGTGCAAATGCAATGTATTGTAAAAAAAAATATATATATATATATATATATTACAATCTTTACAGTATATTAGAAAATGTTGACATCACTTGGAAAATGTACATTTGCACCCTTTGTCTGCTTCCATCCAACATCTGTTGCTAAAAAAAGCTTTCCAAGGTCTACAAAGCGATGCGCCATAGAAATAAAATGATGCATGACTTCAAAGAATGGAGGGACACATCCGTGAGAGTAAGAGAGAAAATAGGATTCAGCCAAAGGTTCCATTATAGGGGATGTCAGCAAAATTATTGTAGCAAAACTGCAGTCAGAAGTGCTTTTTCTGGCTGCTACATTAGCTTTCCTTTTTGGTGGCTGCACAGTTATACACATTTTGCATAGACTATTGTTACTTTATTCTTAAAAAGTACAAAACATGAAGCAAAAAACAAAAAACAAAATCTATGACAATACAGTATAACCTTCCGAGCCATACTAAGTGTTAGACATAACACACCATATAATTAGCACATATCTAATGCAACAATGACTATAAAAACAAATGAGCATAGCAAGTAACACTTTAGCAGTACTAACACTAGTACTGTCAATAGAGTGCTTTGGCTTCATTTTCATGGGTGAAAGAAACTTAATCTATGTTGCCTATAGCATTGTTTTGTATTGTTTATGCTTTGTAGTGGAAAAATGGGTGAAATAAATACTCTAGATTGCTGGAGGTATACATTCTCCCTTTCAGATCATTGAATTCAGTTGGTCCAGGAGCCTAGGTTTGTAAAATCAAGCACCAGTGCAGATGGAATGTAACAAAGATGTGTGAAATTGTGTTAAATAGTTAATTTTAGGAGCAAGGTAACTAGGATGTTATTTGTGCAAACGACCAGTTGTGAAATGCCCTGAGAACAGGATATTTAACTGCAGTTGTGTAATGTTCTCTCTATATTCCACAGTCAACTGTTGATGTTCTGTGGTGAATGATGGCTCTCTATCTGACCATCCATGGATGAAAATTGTGCAAAGGATATTGTTGATTAAAGGAGAAGTCTGGTCAGCAAGGAATAATCAATGGATCATTCTTTATACCTAAAACAAATACGTTTGGAGTTATTTCATGAATTTAGCGTTAGTCAGTACAAAAAAAATAATAATTTTCATTGTAATCACTGAGTCTGGAAGCAGCCATTTTTGCCCAAATATAGTAACCCCTCACTCCTGACATCTTCCGGCAGTGACATCACAGTGCGGTAAGCCTAGCTACAAGACACATCTGCAATCAACAGCAATTGTTGAAGATTTCCAGAGGACTTCACCGTTGAAATTTGCGAGAGCTATAGTTAAACTGACAATGCCCACATGCATTGCACTTCAAAGTTGTAATACATCGGGCAAAAGTGAAAAAAATAGTTATTTCACCTTTCCAATTCATGATCCACCACGTCGGTTCGTCGTTGGATTACCAACTTGAAGAGGGAGGATTTGCCATCGAACTTCTGGCCAGAGAAAAAACACGTCATATGTAGCCAACATTTCGAAAGATAATGTTTTCAAGATAACTTGGATCATAGTGCGTATTGCCAAACAACAGATACAGCACTGGGACTTGATCAACAGCCGATACCGCACCATGAGGTCACAAACCTGTAGGTCGAAGTAGTGTTCTTTGACAAACATGGATGCCTCCGGTAAGGCACAGTCAAATTAAATTACTCTTAATTAAAAACACATCATCTGTTATACAGTTTGTAATAATTTCTTATTTAAAGTACTTTCAGAAGTTTGAATTCTGAATATGACCGGACTTCTCCTTTAAGGCCGTTATTAGGAGTTGGACTCAGTTCCAGCTGAAGGAACTTCTAAAGCAAACCAATATATTTTTTGTCCATTTCTTATTCCTATCTTTGTGTAAACAGTTTGATAGCGGCCAGTTTCTGTTCCAACTATAACAGCACACCAGGACATAATACCATGTCTACAAAGAAATGGATTGGTAACTTTGTCTGTCTGTCCATTCATCCGTCCGTCCTTATGTCTGGCTGTCTGTCTAAGTTTTCAGATTTCACACAAATTGTTGCTTGAGTCTTTTTTTAATTACAATTTATTTATTGATTTCTTCTAATTGAGTTTAGTCTGAAACAACCTTCAGGTCTTAGTTTCAAAACAATCAGGCTGCCTCCACAGCTGACAGAGAACTGTAGGATATCAGGACCATGCTTCAGGTTTTCCATTATCTCCACCTCTTCCACTGCCCCAAAATATACCCTAGTTGTTCAAGGTTCAAGTGTTAATTCATTTACTAGAATAAATCTAATAAATTAACTCTAATCCTCTCGGTCTCAGCCACAACATAAGATACAAAAACATATCTATTAAAGAAGGCTCCCCACTCATTCAGTAGTGATGGTCAATTTTCCTTTTCATGGGAGTCATTGATCACATTGTCAGGATCAATATTCTCTATCATCTCCCACAAGTAAATAAGAAGATATAAGGAGGAACTCAGCTGCTGATAAAATACTTTTCTGGCTGGAATTGACTCCAAGATCAATAGATGCTGATGGTGCAAAAGCAGCAGATAAAAATAATAATCTACTGTAGCTATAAAGCCTAAGTCTAACAAACTAAGCTTATTTTTTAGTCCCTCTCTTGATACACTAATACACTATATTTATTTGTAATTTTAGAGCAATGTTGGTTACCTGAGATCACTTTGTGTTTTAGGTTGATATAATAAGCAATCTGTTAGATTTTTCATACGAAACGATATTAAATCTTTCTTTCTTCTTTTTATTTTTTTTTAGAAGTACTCATTGTTCAGCAACATCTTTCCAAAAACCTGCATAAAGTTTACATAGTAACCAAAAGCTGCACTGATTTATCAGTGGTAATAGTCTGACCACTTGCTTTTTAATTTGGTTGTTAGATCAGGATGTCACATTGGCAGGTGGGGAAATATTTCATATTCTGGGTGAAAAACAAACATTTGAGCAATCTTATATGACTTTACCGTCGTAAAATAAGTGACCCTAATCTACAAACTGTCATATAACATTAGGTTTTATGAATGCACATTGTACAATAACCGTTTACTTGTAAATCTCCTATGATGTATGGAAACAAGCAGTTACACCTTCATAAACCCTCCATCTGGGCCACCTGAGACAGAGACAA